TGGCCTTGAGGGAGCAAATGCGTGCGTGAGGGGAATCGAAAGATCATTCTTCCGCTACGCGTCGGCCGAAGCTATCGAGCTGATCACGGTTGACTCCCCACGCAAAAGGACACCGCCCAAGAAGAATGAAGCAGTCGCTGAGATCGTCAACAACATGTCCGCTGACCTCGTGATTGATTTCACAGTGATCGTCGATGGTGATATCTACCCCGTAGAGATTGCGAGAACCGACGAGACACAGGCCGCTGACAACGTCACGGACGATCCAGGGTTCTCCGTTGCTCCACCAATACCTGCACAGGATGTAGATGTGGATGCGCAACCCGAAGAAGAACAAGGTGCAGAAGGCCCTGATCCCAGGCAGGCGATTCGTGAAGGATTTGTCGCACAGCTTCAGGACTATGTGGGAGTGCTCGCTCAAGGCGAAATGTCGGTCGGAAGTGACCGCCTCACGTTCTGTATCGCTTGTGGCAGTGATCTACACACTCTGTCCAATTGCACGGAAAATTCTGCAACCCGGGATCTGGTACTTCGAGGCATCCAGATCATCAAGGAAAGCCTTCTTCGATATCCACGTCGAGTACCTCCACAAGAGGCTGAGCCAATGGACGTTGACACCACAGACCATGTGAGTGTTGCATCCTCGGACCGACGACCCAAGGCCAAAGCCCGACCGCGACGCGGAGGCGAAGCCGTACGGGGTGATGTGGTCTTGATCCGTTATGAGAACAAGCACAATCTCTGCACGGATGTGGAAAACCGTCGGGGCCTACATGATGCTTGTGGCGTACCACTGCAGGAATCAGGACCAGAGAATAGCCAGCGGGTGGTGGACCTCATTGAGCAGCTTTCGGACCATCGCGACCGACGCCTACCTCAACGAGGAGACCGTCCTAGCTTTGCTTTTGACGATACCACTCAGGGCTACACCAATGCAGGCTATGAATGCATCGGCGGCGGAAGGCCAATCCGGTGCGGGATTCTCGACCTGATCCCAACCAAGGGTGCAAGCTTCATCAACAATCGATGGGACATCGTGAACGAAGTTGTCCTTCGCAACATCACCCGTCAGCGCAGACTAAACGCGGATTGGGCGCTATCATGCATCCAATCTGACCTACGTCACAGAATCGCCAGGCGCCCAGGCTCGGAATGGCTTGACAACAGGTGCCAGGTGGCATTCAACAGCGTCATTCGATGTGATGAAGGAGGGTGGGTGATGATCGAAGACTTGGTGAGGCATGAGCAACTATGGACCCATGAAAGCAGACGCATCACCGAAGCGGTCTCAAGGACCGATGAGCAACAGAGGAAGAGAGTGTACAATGAAAGACTTCAGCTATTGTTCCAAGGGAACATGCTCGCAGCCACGAAACGCCATAAGGCCAAGATTCGGTTGCAGTTCCTGGGAGTGAGAGTGAAGGACCCCGGCACGGAAACTCTTGGATCAGCAGGTTCGAACATGTTGGTATCGGTTCCTGACCAGATCACGGAGATCCAGAACAATGATCATTGCCGGCACAGCCAGAGGTACCTGAACGTTTGCAACGGCTGGGTGAAGCCATGGGCAGTTCGGGCTACAAGTGGTCACTCTGCACACTCGGATCCCCAGAACAATTTGCTTCAGTTGGACAAGAACAGGTTCGCAATATCTCCATCCATGACCCTCTTGCAACGTCTCGGAGGAGCGTTCCACGCTACAGCATGTCGCAACTTGGATTCCATTGTCACGCAAGGCATCATGCCTGGTTCGGAGGACCCCGACGGGGACTTCGACCACAGGCGCCAATTTCGAGGCAACCAAGGCGGCAGACTCCACAGCTATTGGGGGGTGTTTGCACCGTTCGATCACCGGAACGCGACGACCAAGATGCGGGTGCATGGACGAGATGCCAAGCACATGCCACTGGCGGTCCTCCATGTCCCATCGCAGGACCTTGCACGAGAAGATGGACGTATCACAGACAGCGGCATCATGATCGTTGGCCGGACGATACCGTTCCATTTCGTCAAGGAGGTATGGTTTTGCGTCCCGGATCCTCAAGATACACACTCTTTCGCTCTGGTGGAAAAGATCTACGATGAACGATTGGAGAAAGAGCTGGTGTTGGACTACAATGCATCACCATTGCTCCCTGAGTTCGAGAGATACCGAACGCCGAGCAAGATCATGGAATTGCTTTGCGAAATGCCTCCTGGACCCCACGACACCAGCAAGGAGCAGATCATTCGAGACCTTACGACTGTCCTGGAGTCCCACAGGGAGAACACGGTTCGGCATCACTACATGGACAAAGGGATCAAGTTTGTCATCAAGAATTGGCGACCCGAAGACCTACGCAGAGACGAGGATGGAAGGAGAATGAGGGTGTGCCCGGCATGCTACAACATCGTTCCAGCATGTTTCTCCCGATGCACGTCTTGCTGGTCACAGTTCGTTTCGAGCGGATATTACCAAGGTTCTCCACAACGGGAGACTCCTACGGAGATCCCCAGTGACTTCATTGCTCAGACAATGGAAGCCGCAGCAGCAGCAGTGCCTGAGGCGCCCGAAGAGGAGCAGGAAGCCATGGAGGTAGAGACCGTTGCGGAACCTGAGGAAATCCCAGAACCATCTGTCATCGCAGAGGACGATCCAGAACAGGAACCTGATGAAGAAATGGACATAGAGCCAGGAGAGGACTTTGATGACGCAGTACCAGATGCAGTTGCACAGGAACGTCGTCCCGTCTTCATTACCGGCCAGTCTTTGAACATCGATCCTGAGCTACAACTTGCACGTACCGCCATGCAGCCATCCTACTATTCTGGAAAGCGAAATGCCCATTGCATTGACGCCAACATGGCCGCTCTTTCGTATATGGCATACGTGGTATGCAGATCCATCTACAAAGCTTGGTCAGGGTTCGCAAAGTGGGCGACTATGCCGTTGTTCCAGATGAAGGAGAATTTCGCACTTGGCCAACGCTATGATGTGCTCGGAAAGTGGGGATCTTTGGCGGCAGTGGATAGGGAAACGGGTGTGAGCAAGGATGTGACTGATGAGGAGATCATTCGCTTTGCCAAGGAACCTGAGAACTTCAAGCAGTATGATCCCAACGGGACTTACACTTTGAAGCGCTTCCGGACGAATCAGATGCTTTCGTTGCTTACACGGGGAGCCAACATGATGGGAATTGGCAGGGACAACTTCAACCCTACTACGTACTTGAAGAGCAACAGGGATGAAGATGTGAAGGCTATGCACTTTTGTTGCCTGAACGTCCTGTGCGAGGTGATTCCGATGGTGACGGGACACCAACAATTCTCAGTGCTACGACCAACACCAACTGGACCGGTGGACTTCTTGTACATCGACCCCGTCGGTATCCTGCTGACTCATTCCGATCATTCAGTCCAGACCATCGGATTGCTGGTGGACCACAATGTGCAAATGCCTGCGCATTTCATGGACAGATTGAACAGATCCAAGGCTGAGAGACAGCAAAACCCGACGACCAAGCGTACTGAAGCCCTACACCACATTTCGGCCGCTGACTATCTCCCTCCAGGTGGTACTTCCATCCTGGACACGCCTGTCACTACGGAGGAACGTGCAAGCGCTTCTTCGGCCAAGGGACCTTCAAAGGGGCGTGAGAGAGCCGGAGGTGAACAGCATGGAGGCTGGAACGCCAACACCTACTATGACTACACCGCCGGCAAAGGCCGAAACAAAGGCAAGGACAAAGGAAAGCAAAGGGAACAGTATCCAGAGGAAAACCTCCGGCCCTGGGACCGCGATCCTGCGACCACGCGAAGATGGAGATGAATCAACGCTTGGTCTTCCTCGCCTATCAGTTCGTGACCTCTGAGCTTCGCCCATGGAATGCCCTCGCGAATGCTTCTTTCTTCGGTGACGCCTGATTCGTTTGCCATTTCAGGGGATCGTTACTGACGTAGATGAGTGTCACAACGTTTCTAATTGGGATGCAAAGCTCTGATTTTCAATGTCAACGTTGCGGCGGAACATTTTCTGTTGTCCTATCGTGCCATCTTCCGGGTGAGCAGCGTCGGAGACGCAACTCATGGGGGGTGCGAACGGACTGCGATGCCTTGTCAAGTTCTAAGGTGTCACTATAAGAGCTGTGAGCAAGACTGTGTAAAGTGCAAGAGAAGGGGGCACGCTACGCGTCCCTCGACTCTAAGGGGGCACGCTACGCGTCCCTCATCTTTACCTTTCTATGTGACCGCCCACGCAACGTTTGGCTCAAGTCAATGCCCATAGCTAAGTGCTATAAGTGTCTTCTATCCTGAGCAATCAGAGCTATCCCGTTGCACAGACGAACCGCCGCCGGCAGTGAGTGCAAAAGGAACGGCCGCCGGTTCTGCCTGCATAGGATTGCACGCGTGGAAGTGTAAGAGAGACAGGGTCCAGTCTGTGGAGAGTGCAAGCCAACCACACCTACATTCATTACAGCTCTGGTGGGGAGAGCAGCAACCTAGTCGAGATCAATCCCCCACGCAATAGTAGATTAGTTAGAGGGGTGAATAGTAGATTAGTAAGGGGGGTTAGGGAAAGCACGTGCATACTGCTGCGAAATATATCGGTAATTATGATGTATGTCGTCATATCCTGAACTAACCTCTCCAAAAACATATACCGACGGATAGTCTCAGCTTAACCTTGAGTCTGTGGACCAAGAGAATCTTCAATTTATATACCTCGAGCTTTGTCGTGCTATGATTCGAAAACGTCGGCATCGGCTTCTTCGTTGGAGGGTCCGTCGATGAGTAAGTATATATCGATTAGTGTAAGTTGATGAGTTTGCAAGCCTTGACGGAAGTACGCTTCTTACTTTTAGGAAGGCGTGGTATGACATATGTAAATTATGGTTTTTGCGCAAACATTTGCGCGATTACTTCCGCGACGTTTTGCGCAGTTATTCTTCCTGGTTTTTGCGCCATTATTAAACAGTCTCGCTGGCATGCTGGCGCCTACCATTTCAGGGCTGCCCTGAATTATGGGTGTTGTCCGCACAGCTTCAATCGTAGGAGAAGGCAATCCAGGGTCTCCGTAAAGTAGACCAGCCACACATGCTCCTCGTCCATTTATGGGCCTCTGCTGAGGTTCGGTGTGACGACTCCGAGCATCTGCATTTTATGTGTTCTGGCTGCCTTTCCCTTGAAGAGGCGCGTGGATCAGAGGAGTGGAGAGTGTTGGGCTATGGAGCAGGCTTAGGAGTACAAAGCTTGGCAAAGGCTTTCCGACCATCCGCAGACTGTAGGGCGATGGCTTCCGGGACACAGTTGAGGTGATTTTTGTTTACGGCAGGCAGGTTTAGATTGGATGCCAGGTGTGGTTACGCAAGAGTCCCCTTTTGAAGGGCCCACGAGCACACCTCTTCCCAGCGCTGGGACAGGTTGGCCGGGTACAAGCTATGTTACGCCCATCAGCGGACGATCCCCCGCGTGCAGGACGGCGGAAGAGAGTCAGGAAAATTATTTTGATAGGATTTCAGATGCATGTAGTGACATGGACAGCAGCGCATGACAGGAGGGAATCGGCTCCTGGGAATCCATCTTGACATTCCTCGCCTATGCGGGTGTCACAGTGACCTGCTACATTGCCACTTTGGCGGATCCAGACTGCGCAAGAGTGTCAGCATCGCTGGGTGCAAGCTTTACATAGCAGCTGTCGTGGAGGATGGATCATCTCTGTGAGAGTCGTTAAGTTTCTCCGCTGGTAGGCCTTACTAGCAACATCGGGGACGAGGGGACGACCTAAGCTCAGATGGCTGCAAGTCCATATTCCTCGCAAGGTCGTCTTTATCTTCAACATCTGGGATCTTACCTTCTGCCAAAGCATGCTGGGCTTTGTGATCGCAGAGCGCGTGTTTCGGCTTCAGCTTGCGATCGTTGTTTGACAGCAGATGTCTCGGCACTTGATGCAGAATCGATGATACTTCATCACTGCTTGTAAACTACGTAAAAGCTGGTTAACCTATGAAGATAGATACTGAGTATCAGACGAAACTACGCACAAGTTTCTCACTGGATGCTCGTTGAACCCAACTACCACAAGTCTGAGAATCCAAACTCCGAAACGCTTCGCGAAACTGTCAGACATCAAATTGTGTTTTGGATTCAATAAGCTTGCGGGAGTCCAGGAAAACCGTGCTTTTCTAGGCTTTCCCGGTAAACACAACAGATGTTTCCAAATATAGTCACCGTATCAAGCAGATGAACGTCAATCTCAGATGAAAGACGACCGAAATACTACTGAGTAATGAGATCGCTACGAAACTGCAAACCTTCAGAAGTGTTGGGGGAACGTCCGGAAAAGCTTAACTTTGGATTTGCTGCTGGTCCAGGGTGAGCATACATACTGGTTGCTACTGCGCAGCTGCATGATTTGTCAGGCCATCGGCGGATTCAAGTTTGTGGTTGAGGGCTTCTTTGGGGCAAAGTCTGTGGCGCAAAAGCGGATTGAAGAGCACAATGATGATGCCTCCTGGCATGACATATACCTTGCCGATTTCAATCAAGGTACACTGTGATGGCCTAGCCAGGAGGCTGTAGACTGCACCTCTGAGCCCGGCATCTGGCCCAAGGTATTGGATGAAATTCTGGCAAAGGATCATGAACCTGAGAAGATAGAAAGGGGGGACGCCAGAAAGTCCACGCGCGCGTCCCTCGCAGTACGGTGAAGGACTGCCGGCGCCATCGTGATGGGACCATTACTTGTCGCTGATGTCCAGCAGCGATCCCGCACCATGTTCCACGTCAGGAAGCAGCATGTCATAGTCATAGAGAACCGTAGCCTTTAGTGGAGCCTTAACGATTCCCCGATGATGAGTGAGAGCAGTGACCGCGTCAACCACACCGACCCAATACATGCACAGAGCAACGTGAGGTAAACACGTCCCATCTCGTTGACTGGGGCTTGGTTTTGGACTTGCAGCCACTTGCAACCCGAAGCACTTTTGGCTTGAATCTTGGAGTCTTGGAGGACACCACGGCAGCTGAAAGGCCGCAGAGCAAGTCGAATGGATTTTTGAGATGCGCGGAAGACCTCGCGAACTGTGTCGGCACTGAGGTTCTCTTGTATTTCTTTACGCAAGGAGGGCTAACTACCTTTGCAAGCGACTGGAGTGTTAGCTTCAGAGCACTGGTAAAATGGCCAATGCGTTCGCAAGTTTACCGTGTTCATCAGTCTTCATCTTGGGTTTCGCTGGGAGCAGGTTCTGGGAGCCAGAGCCTTGGGAAGCTTTTGGTAGTTTGTCGTTGTTGGTGGTGCTGGTGCCGGTGGTCTTTGTGGTCTTGGTGGTGGTTGTTGTTGTTGTCGTTGTGGGCATGGTGCTTTCAGGGGACGGGGCCCGTGAGCCCATGGAACGGGCCTTTAGGGGGGCGGGTGGGGGCTCGCTGGTCATGCAGCGCTTAACGGCCGCAGCCCAAAGGACTTCAGGAGCTTGTATGTAGTTGCATGCGGGGAGTTCTCTGTTAGAGGCCGTTCTGGAGGATCCAGAGTAGAGCAGAGCTAGGGACGTCGGCGAGATATGTTTAACACATGCAGCTGCTGTTTGGTGAAAGCGTGCAGACGACAAAGACTTGATACCAGGGAGGACAGCACATATGCCAGACTGCCATAGGCAGAAGCAGCCGCTCAATGATGGAGGTTCGATGCTCGGGCAGACAGTATCGGGCGTTTATACGAAAGCTCTGAACCCCTGAAAAGCCCCCTCCCCCCTACACTTCTTTGCTGCGAGATGATGCAGTGGCCTGCTTTCCGAGGACCCTCCCAAGCGAGGAGAGACCAAGCTCACTTTAGGATTTAAGGTATTTGAGGTATGGGGTTTAGGGTTTGGGGCTTAAGGGTTTGCGACTGCTGCCCTAGCCTTATGATGTTGAGATTGATGATGATATTGTTGTTTTTTGTGGTGGTGGTGATGGTGGTGTTGTTGGCATGATTTGGGTTGTTGGTGCTGTTGGTTTTGTTGCTGTTGTTGCTGTTGCAGTTACAGCTGTTTCTGCGCCTTCGCTTCCTGTTGCAGTGCACAACGCAGAGATCACCAAATGATGCAAGATTTGTTTGTCTCTTTCACGGCATCAAACAGGTGTAAGAGGCAGGCCGCTCAGAAACCCACAACCTTTGGTGAATTACTGCTTCTTGTCGTGTCGCACAACCTCAAAATGCATAGCATACTCCAACCAACGTGTCGGAGATGCTGGTGACGACTCACAGATGTTGGGTGGCCAGATGCTTATTCACTTTAGCTGGGGCCCTGGCTCCAAGCAGTTTGACTGCAGACCTTCCCGCCCTCGGCGCCAACGTTGCGCAGAGGAGCTGTGCCAGGGGCGGCAATACGAGCACTTTACATGAACCAGGACCATGCATGCTTGTGCGACCCAACGCGCCGCAGCATTGGCATGCTGCGACCGCGCTCTTGAACATGTCGGGTGAAAAACGAACTCCCTCAACCAACGCAGATTCCTTCGAGATCGGTCCAATGGGCAAGAAAACAAGTAGAATAGGTTTGAGGCGGGATATATAAACAGCAGACTACTGGATCTAGTAGCAGCTTGCCCTGTAAAGCATCTATCCACACCTATGTGCACCTCACATCGTTACAATAGAAGCTGTTCAACCCAGCATGAAATCTTTGCCACGTAAGTGCCATTTCTGTGGACAGAACCGAAGGCGAGGTACAGTAGGTGACACGATGCTTGCAAGGCAGAGCCACAAGTGCTGTGAATATCACGAGTCACGGGTTAAGGCTTGGCGGTGCAGAGGAGCTACCGGTGTTGTCAAGGTTGAATGCTAGTTTCAAGGCCATTGAGCCGCTCTAGAGGCTTCTATGCCGCATCAACATTTGCGAGCCCCTGGCAAACCTGCGTTGTGTCTTGCACGCAGTAAGATTCCAAACCTCCAGTCTCGGGAACCGAACAGCTGTTCAGAGGGCAGCAGTCGTTCAGTCAGTGCATCTGTGCGAAGCTGCTACGTGAATACCCTAGCTACTGCTGCGTCCTTGCTCCACCACACCTCTTTGCTTGTTTGGATGAATCAGCACGAGTTTCAAAAAGGAGAGCAGCTTTGCATGAAAGCAGAATTTCGCTGGCGACCACTGCCACTTCATAGGCCGTACGCTGGTCATTGGCGACCCGTGCTGTCGCCGTAAATGGTGTCCAGCAAGTTGGGGGTCAAATCAAGGTGTGGCTTTGTACTTTCGGAAACGCGCTTTTGCTTGTTTTCGCTGACCCTCAAGTTGCCAGCGGCCAAGCGGCATCAGTGCTGGCATAGCTTGACATGACCGTGCTCTCGCAGTGCAAATAGAATCTAAGCTGCGAGCATTGCCCGCTCGCAAGTTGCACCGGGCTACCTTTCTATGGCATGAGTCCATTGTGATGCCTGGCGAAGGTGCAACCGCTTTTGGCTTGGCAGCTCGACTGCGGACGCAGCGGCCTTGTTTATCTGTCCTTGGATGTAGCCCCGTGTTAAACCTAAGAAAGCAGACATAAGTGATTGCATCAAGCCCCCCTGGGATTTTCCCATGACTTGGCTCGGATACCCTGCCCTTGTGAGGTGCAGAAGGCCAGGACAAGACGTCTCAAGCCTGGGCCTCAAGCACTGCGTATCATATCAATATAAGTATACATACTTACATAGTCATATAGATATGTATGTACGTAGAACTTCATTGACAAAAGGGGAAGCCAGAACTTATCCTTTTCAGATCATCATTCGTGCATACAGACGCTGGGGCCCTCTGTGTGCTTGTGCAGTTCGCTGCGCGGCCGGCCTTGGGACCTTGGCCCAGCGGCAATGGCCATGACCTCGTTTGGGGTTTAGGGTTTAGGGTTTAGGGGTTTAGGGTTTAGGGGTTTAGGGTTTAGGGGTTTAGGGTTTAGGGGTTTAGGGTTTAGGGGTTTAGGGGTTAGGGTTTAGGGTAAAGGGTTCACCATGGTTCACCGCCGTCGGCTGTGGCTCGCTCCGCCACCTCGTTCTTTCCTTCAAGCTTCACTCTCGCAACTCCAGCTGGGCTCCAGCAGATGCACGCTAAGGCTACTGTGACTACAGCCGCTACCACAGTTGTTCCTCCTCCTCTTTACCATGTTGTCCTCATAGCTTCGGAGCCCTCTTTTTGCACCTTTGCTACCTTGTTCTTCTTCTGTTGCTCTGTTTACTTGTTGCTGTTACTCGTTTGGTACCATGTTGATTTGCTGTAAAGTGTGGGCGCCACTTCTGCAAGCAAGGCTATGATACCTGTAACATGCGAGGCTAATCGTCCCGATAGATAGACTCAGCTGGAGGATCAGCAGTTCACAGGTTCTCCACGAATTGCCAGACCACAAGCAAATCTCCGAATATACGCCGGTAGATGAGGCAGCACCCGCGAATTTAACTCCAGGTGATGCCCAGCAGCCAGCCTTCCAAACATCTCGGAATCACATCCATAACGACTTATGTGATGATGCTGCCCTCAACCCCAAAATCCCAAACCTTAAAGCTGGCACCTGTGATGATGATGGCGGAGGTGCAGCGCGAGCTCACCCGGACCATATCGAGTGCCTGGCAAGCAGCAGGCCTTTCATGACTGAACTTCTGGCATTACCTCTAATCAGCCAGAGATGGGCTCATGCTATTCAGAAAGTTCAAATCTCCCCTGCCATCAAACCTGTGAAAGCTCGCAGATGTTGCTACTTCTACGCTATCAGCAATAGGTTGTTTGCAGAGCCAGAGTCCGGTCGTGCCTGACCGCAGTAGTAATCATGCTGTCGTGGCCTCATCAGATGCTACAAATATCCGCCACATGCCGGCATGACCAAGGCAACTACTTCTCCCCACGATCGTTAGTCGGACTCATGTCACCAACGCCGTTGCCTCCAGTGTTGTTGCTCCGCAACCACAGCCCCAAGCCCTGTTTCCGACAGTCCCGAACCTGCAGCCTAGTCCCTGAAAGCCTGGAACCCCTCCAGCCCCAAAGTAAGCCATGCAGGAGGCAAAAAAGTAAGCCTGTAGGCGTCAAATTCAATGGAGCCCAGGAGCCCCGGAGGCAAGCGCCCGCCACTAGCCTCCAGATTTTTCCAGCGCTGGCGATGCCGGGAAGCCCAGGGAGCCGGCCAGCAAGCCTGGTATCATAGCTATTATATACCCATTATATAGCCGTCGCCGTTAAGGATCCCTCCTTTTCCCCTTTGAGTTAAGGGCATTGGTGTCCATTCCTCTCATAGCTTCCGCGTTGGGGATTTGGAGTCCCTTCTATTGTTCCTCTCATACAGTAGTTCCGTTGGGAGTTTTCGGAACCTCCGGACGTTCATCTTGAGGCCGTGGCATAGCAGCTGAAGAAGCTGGAGCGATGCCAGGACAGAACAGCGGCCGGTAGGAGCCGGAGGTGCTTGGGTAGCTTAAGCTAGAGAACTAGGTGGAGAATGATTTGGGAAAGCTGTTTGATTGTGTGAGTTTGCAGCTCCCTTCTGCAGAGTCTTGAAGTCTGCAAGAGCTTTGCAATCCGTGGGTTGATATGCCCGCGCGGTGCTTCTCTGATACCCTCCGTCCGTCCATGCCACTCCGAATCTGTTCGATGCCATGGCAGGTCAGAACTTCAGCAAGGCCGTGACCTACGCCATTTCCGTTGTCTTGGCTTTGCGTTCGAGGAGGACTGCCATTTTTCGGGCTGACCACCTTTCCTTGCTTGAAAAGTTCTCGAAA